GAACCATACCGCCAATCCAAACTGTATGCTAATTGTCAATCATCTTTGACGATAGTGGTCCTGACAGAAATGAGTAGACCAGTGCGCCCACCCCGGCCAACCTGACGGGGGGTGTGAGAGAAAGAGAAATTGTTAGACAGAGCAGCTGGGGTTGCTGAATCTTCTGGACGAATCCAGGTCTCGGTCAATCCCAAGATGCTGAGTGTGGATTGTAAAGAAAAAGCCGAAATGAAGTCCGCTTTGTTGACAGCTGACTGACAATTCCAGAGACCCACAGAGAAAGAAAGAGGTGCAATTCTGCAGTTTTCCCGCAGAATTGGGCTACTTTAACACTTGCCGCGTTTTGTAGTTTTGGTATGTTTTGAGTAGCAATTAGGCGGGTTTTGTTGTGAAAACCTGGCAACCCTGGTGTGTGATGTATTTATTTATGTAATTTATAAAATATAAGATTTTTGTGTGGCAGAAATAGTCACACTTCATGAGCATTTTCTCTCTAAGTGGTGTTTGTAATGTTGGTGGTGTGTTTGCTCTGCTCAGGACGTGATGGTGGTGGGCGAGCCCACGCTGATGGGAGGAGAGTTCGGGGACGAGGACGAGCGTCTGATCACGCGGCTGGAGAACACACAGTTCGACGCGGCTAACGGCATCGACGACGAGGACAGCTTTAACAACTCGCCCGCGCTGGGAGCCAACAGCCCCTGGAACAACAAGCCTCCATCCAGCCAGGAGGGCAAGAACGACAACCCCACCTCACAGGCGTCTCAGTGAGACTCGGGCTGGGGGCGGAGCTGCGGTCGACTCATTCGTCTACCTGCAGTAGCTGGTCTTCCTGTCAGCAGAGGAAGTGAACCTGGAGGACCAGAGATGAGCGTCACTCCACAACAGAAACCGTTTCTCGACACAGGACAGTTTTTATTGACACGCTCGTGGTTTTGTTGGTGATTTATGAGGAGCCTGTAGATAGTTCATATGTTTAAGTTAAGACGAAGCGGAGAAATCTGACCACGTAAAACGCCAACAAGACCAAGACATATCCAGCTCCTGTTTCACTCACAAGAAATGACATTTTGCATGAGGAAAATATAAAAAAACAATCATTTTCAGTTTTAATACTGTTTTTGTATGGAAGCTCGTTTGCGCCACTGAATACAAATATAAAACTTTTTATCTCACTTTTCTCAGAATTAGTGATATAAACTCACAATTGTAAGAAAATAGCCTTTTTTTTCTTCTTTTTCTCTGAATTGGACTTTATAACTTGCAATCGCGAGTTTAGATCTCAATTCTGAGAAACGTGCAAGAAAGCCAAAACTGTGAGATCTTATTAACTCGCAATCGCAAGAAAAGATCAGAAATGCCAGGAAAAAAGTTGCGATTGCAAAAAAAAAAAAAAAAGTATTTAGTGGCGGAAACAAGCTTCCGTAGTTTTGCTACTTTATTGCAATGAGAGAATTTTTTTAAAATGTGAATCGGCATAAATCAAAACAGTAGCGTTCTTATTCTCTCGTTTCGCATTACAGTGATGAGATGCAGGGAAATGTTTAATCATCATTTTAATGCAAACAAATAACGGTTGTAACAATAGACTAGATATTTTCTTTCAGCAAAATGTAATTTCTTATTTTTTGGATCGAAACGTCAAACACCACAGATTAATTTCGACAGTCTCGCATCTTCCTCTGATTGCTGGAGGATGTTTAATATCACGCGTTTTGGAGAATTTTATCCGTGTTTTATACCAGCCTCTATTTCCCTCGAATGTTTTATTTTATTTTTAATTTTTTTTAACCGATGTTGAAAGCTGCAAACCAAGGAGTAACCGAACCGTCGAGGTCCTTAAAGATTTCAAGCCTCAGATTCTATTGGTTTGTCTTCTGTTTAAAGAGAGTGGTTTAGCGTGGGCTCTGATTGGTTTTCGTGTACTTGTGCTTGTATATTTAAGGTAGTAGCAGAGTTCTGTATAACTGTATTGAGATGTATTCCTCCTTAGAGTTACATAAAGCCATTCTGATCTAACGTGTACAAAACGCAAATCGTGAACGATGAAAACACACCAACCTCGTCTTTTCCCCTCTCGATTATTTTGTTTTAATTTGCATACGACTGATGAATTGAAATCAAGGGCACTGTGTTTGTCGCCTGATTCTGCCGTTTGTTTTCTTGATCTTCTGTTCTTCGTGTGTTTACGAGAGACAAACTGTGAACAGCTAGTCATGTTTCAGTAACATGTTAGTCATTGTTTTATTTCCCCCGCACACCCGATACTGCTGAAACTCAATTTTTGTACTGTTTTGATTATTGTTTTCTCTCTGTTTCTGACCAGCTGAATCGATCTGAATGAATTAAAGGTCTGCACTTGTAACAAACTGGTGATCTTTTCCACCTTTAACCTTGTAGATGCTCCTGTTTGATATAACTTTGTCTTCTTCATTTCTGCCCTTGATTAAATTAATGTATGGAACCAATAAAATATGAATTTTCACTTTAAGGATTTCTTAATGAGATAAATTATAATATAAGTCAAACATTGAAGTGAGCTGCTGTTTTTGTCTCTTCTGAGGAAAACTTTGATCAGATTTATTTAATGTTCATCTGATCTAATTTTATAAGTGACTTTTCTTTCTGTTATAAAGATGTTTTCTTTGTATTGTTTGACTACTCAAAAGAGAATATAGGAAAATATAACTTCATTAAGTTGAATTTTTTTAAGGGATTTGTATTTGTGTATTCTTTGTTTTGTTTGCTTTGTCTTTATGGATGATCCAATCACAACCATTTGTGTTGACTCGATACACTTTTTTTATTTTATCTTATTTATTTTTTTGCGGTTTATGTCGGATTCCACTTAAAGGAATGAAAACATTAAACTTCCCCGTGTCTTCAATTAGGAAAAACACATCCTACGACTTTAACGGAAAGAAATCTGCACACGCGGCATGACGTCGACCCTGGAATTATGGGAGATGTAGTTTTTCAAAGGAGCCTCCTTCTAATTGGCCGAAGCTTCTCACGTGACCCTCCTCCGGTCACACGTGGGTTAAAATCTTCCCTGCGTTTATGGATGATCCAATCACAACCATTTGTGTTGACTCGATACACTTTTTTTATTTTATCTTATTTATTTTTTTGCGGTTTATGTCGGATTCCACTTAAAGGAATGAAAACATTAAACTTCCCCGTGTCTTCAATTAGGAAAAACACATCCTACGACTTTAACGGAAAGAAATCTGCACACGCGGCATGACGTCGACCCTGGAATTATGGGAGATGTAGTTTTTCAAAGGAGCCTCCTTCTAATTGGCCGAAGCTTCTCACGTGACCCTCCTCCGGTCACACGTGGTTAAAATCTTCCCTGCGGCGCCGATTCGACAGGTTTTATAAACAAAACAAATGCTAATAAACGTCTGTGTGGGACAGATGTTACCGTTTAAAGTCCGAGTCTAGTCGCGGGATGACGCAGAAACAGCTGTTAGAGGTCCGGTTCGTGGCTGATGAAGATGTTTTGGATCATATTGTAGAGAAACAGAAAGGTAAAGGTTTCTCTTCAGATTTATATTAAAAGCGTCATACGATCTAACAAAACTCACTTAACTTTGCTTTTACTTTCAGACTTTAAATTACTACATAAACAGTCATTTCTATCTATCTATCTTCTTTAGTTGTGTATTTATATTTATATATTTGTATTTATTTATTGATCTACTTTTGTTTTTCATATTTATTTATTGATATATTTAGTTTTATTTAGTTTATTATTCTATATATATTATACTTCATATTTATTTTGTTTATTTGTTTTATATATACATATTTAAAAATATTTAATAATATTTTTAAATGTTTATTTAGCTTTGCTTATATATTTATTGATCTATTTATTTGAGTTTATTAACATATGTTATACTTTATATTGATATATTATTTATTGATATGGTTTTTAGTTAGTTTATTATTATATTACCTGTAATTAAGTTAAATTAATTAATTAATTTATGCATTTAGCAGACGCTTTTATCCAAAGCGAACACATTATAGATTATATACAATATATATTATATTACATATATATATATATATATGAGTGTGTGTGCGCGTGTGTGTGTGCACGTGTGTGCACGTGTGTGTGAGTGTGAGAGTGTGTGTGTGTGAGTGTGTGTGAGTGTGTGTG